TCTTGATTTGCATGCTCTGTTTGAGCATTTTCGATTTTTTCTTCAACATTAGCCAATTCAACCAGAGCACTTGATAATAATGGATGTTCTTCGATTGTAGCTAAAAGATTCAAACATTTTGACAATTGTGATGCGGCTTGTGCTGCTTCTTTACGTTGTGTAAATAAATAATTAAAACTAGAATATAATTGTTTCAAATGATTATGTAAATTAGTGATGAAATATTGTTTTTCTTCAAACCATGTGTCTTGTTCATCCGTTTTAGATGTTAAATTTTTCACTTGATTTGAGATATTTGCAAATGCTCGTAGCATACCAGCACCACTCAATGCTTGAGTATTTGTAGCTTTTGGTAATTCATTGGGCATTTCTAAAAATTCTCGAAAATCTGGATCCATCAATAAAGCATCATGTCTGGCTGTACGATTTAAATATCTCTCCAAAGCAGCGCGACGACGATCAATAAAATCTGTTGGTATTTGTTCTTCTTTTGATATTTTTACTTTAGCCATGGTTAATGTATCTTTTTCTGGTGGTGCTGGTACAATGACACCCGTATGAATATGTTTTGACAATATCTTTCCATGTAAACCAAGAAAATCACTAAATCGACGATTCACCGTAAATTCGGATTTTTTAAATGCTGACATGTTTGTTTTTGTTGTTATTCTGTAGATCATATACGATGACATACCCTAGAAAAAGAAAATAACAACAATTAACTTGTTACAGTTTTCACTTCAGGTCTCTTTCTTACCTCACCAACTTTTGTCGGATCACTAACGGATATTTCAATAGTCTGGTCTTTTGCACGTGTTTTTTTACTCCTGTCTACCGATACTTGACTTTCCAATAATGATGTTGTTGTTGTTGAAGCGCCTGAAATTCTTTGAGTAACCGGAGCAGGCGGAACAACTTCTTTTGATACAAATACGTTTGAGGAAGCTGGAAATATTTCATCACTCTTTGTTTCCACTATTGTTGGCGATAATGGTGTAGGAGTAACATGTGAATTTGTATGTTGCACCGTGGCTTTTTTTGTACCAAATAAATCGTCATCATTATCTTCCTCCATATCATCCTTTACGTCCTTTTTGACACCTTCAAATATATTTTGCCTATTTTCAAACACTGGTTCATTTTTCTGTTCAATTGGTGTGACTGTTGGTGGCTGTTTACGACTTGTGTTTCCACCAAATGGGCTTTCTTCATCATCAAGATCAATATCATCATTCAGTGCAACTTCACCAAAGTTGTCTGAATGATGAACAGAAGAATCTTGAATAGCTGACGTAAACAAATCATCACTATTATCTTTATCGTCTTTCATTTCGGGTGGTTCACTAAATGACATTTTTTTGCCTTTTTCTTGTGATAGTGATAAAAAAAATCTAGAAATGCATACAAAACGTTACTGTGTTTGCCTCGCTTAAAAGAAAATTAAATCCTTATCGATTATGTTAGATACAAAACAATTACTTTCTGATTGCCACTAAATCCCGAATTCAGCCGCACTCTGCAAAACAATTCGTTTACGTCTGCTTAAATTATCTTTATCCCGTTTACTTAAAAGCCCGTCTACCTGCTTGGCTTTTTACAGTTGCGTGAGAATCGAACTAATATCACTACTTAGAATATTGCTTTTAAAAAATTATATCGAGAAGCCTATAAAAAAAGCTGAGAATTTGTTGAACTATTTGGATATTTTATTTCACTGGCCATTTTGGAGAGTATCTTATCTGGTAGAAGAATCTTTTACTGCTTGTCTGAAGAACAAACACTCTCGTATTAAATTTCAATCTGAATATCTTAGAACCACCAGTCGAACTGTACATATGGGAAATAGAGCCTGAGTAGTAAAAAGATGAATGAAACTTGTTGATGTTATTAGTATCTGTTTTTTTTATTCTTTTATATGTGTTTTTATATGAAACAGAGAAAGAGAAGTAAAAGAAACAAAAAACCTAGATATTCGTTTATTGTATGGTCATGTTTTGAGGGAGAAAAAAAGCTGATTACTCTGCTATTGTCCTACTTCTTTCATACAGCCAACAAAGATACCACCTACATAAAATGATAGACATCATGTTTGAATGATTTAGAAAAATGCTTTGTTTTTTACGTACCTACAATTTTTTGAACAAATAAAAAAACAAAAAAGAACATATTTCATACACACACGCACACATACGCACAAAATTTCATCTTCATATAAATTTTCTTCGAATAGTAAAAAGAACAGAAAAAAATGAAGATACAAAGCCAGGTTTTCTAGTTTCTTCGAATATGTGTATGTGCAAGAGCGTTTTTCCTCCTGCACAAAATGCGCCTACATACACATAAATAAAAGTCTGTGGATCAGAAATGCGTGCTTAATATGACAAAAGAAAAAAATATATTTTAGGTAAAATAATAACAACAACAACAACAGAACTTTTTTCTGAGAAAACAATTTGGTTGCTTCTTTAACTCTCTCTCTCTCTCTATCTCTCTCTCTTTCCCGTTCCACTTCCATTCATAGCTAGTTTCAAAATACAAAATAGTAAATTAATTGGAAAAAAAACAAGAGAGATAGAGGCAAGGAGAAGAAAAAGAGTGTAAGAGAACATTTTAATACACTATTGCTGGCGGAAAAAATGTTCATTGGAAACACAGAACTATAGATATACACGTCCACATACAGCATGAATGCAGACATGTCTATTCTAACTCCATGAATGGGTTTGGTCACTGATTACTAGCAGATATGCTATTATTCACATTTAAGGGTGACGGAGAGTTTGTCAACGAAACACCACTTGATGCACCAGCTAAATGAGAATAGGACACCTAAATGATCAGCAGCAACATAAAAGAAAAAATATCATACCGTTCGATAATGGTACTGAAGATGTCACTCCTGCTGGACGACTTTGATCACGAACAATTGGAACTGAATGAAACGATAAGATCATTTTTTCCGAACTCAGTATAAGACATAATACGTACAAAAATAGGCATGATCCATTGCTTCTTTAGCTGTTAGACGATCATTGTGATCATAACGTAATAATTTATCAAGAAAGTCCAATGCTTCTTGACTCACAAGATGTTGATTTTCTGAATGAACAAATCTTTCCCAACGTTTACGTGAATGTCTAAAAGTGGTTAATAATTACAGTAATGTATTTCATTTTTTCGAGTAAAAAATACGCACCGTCCAAGTATTTCATTGAAACGTGGATCAAGTTCAATTTGATATTTTTCAAGATATTCATATAATTCATCTGTACCTAGTACTTTAGCAATACGAACAAGCTTAAGAAAAACAAAGATTAAGAAGAAAAGTTTTGTAATAAGAAACAATATTTATGTACCTGATCATAGTTATCATGTCCATGAAAAAATGGCTCTTTACGAAATATCATACTAGCTAACATACATCCTAAACTCCACATGTCTAATGAATAATCGTAATATTGGTAATCAACTAATAATTCTGGACCCTTGAAATAACGTGATGCGACACGCACATTATATTCTTGACTTGGATGATAAAATTCAGCTAAACCCCAATCGATCAAACGAAGCTGAATGAAAATGACAATAAGTGCTCAAAACACTTAATATGATAGTAAAAAAATCAATTCTTTTGCCGTTGGTTTCTTGTTTACAGAGACAGTCAGGTCCAGGTGAGACTGAGATCTGCCTTGGTTGGACCTGAACCTATGACTTCTGACATGTAGCTACCACTTTCAGTAGACCTGGACCATGACCTAATCTGACCTTGGACTTTAACCTGTGACTTAGACATGGACAGGAGGCCGAAGTGAACTTCCAAGCCTAATGCAAATAATTAGTGTCCAGCTTGGATACATAGTATTCTAGTAACGGCTACTGCTCGAATTCAATAGACACTAAAAAGCTCGTATTACATAGAATTGAAATACTACTAACGCTCATTTCATTTCTCAAATCTAACGCATATACTGTTTCATGTAGGCCTGCAGTGTTTCTAGGCCTGAATTCTCTTAAATACACTAAGCTTACTCATCTTACGTACCATTTTGCAAAAACTTATAAAGTGGCAACATCTAAAGCTAAGATTTTATTGGAAGTTCAGTTTAGTTCATTAAATGTACCGTTTTACCACAGTCTTCATTTTGAGCACTCGACTTCGGAAATATAATTAATATCAAAACGGCTCATTTAGAGTTATTTGTCTTAGTTTTACAGTTTAGTTCGGTTCTCAGGTTCATGTCACAGGTTCAAGTTCAGGTTAGGTCAAGGTCTGAAAGCCGTAGATTCATGTCAAAGACCATTAGTATCTCCAATGCTTTATTACACGTCCGGACCTGTCAGGTCTACCGTCCGTCTCTGCTTGTTTACAAACTTATTGCTAAATGTGTAATGCACATAAAAACATTTACTTTTCGATTTTCATGATCGATCATAACATTATGTGGTTTAACATCACGATGCATTATTCCCATACTATGACAATAATCCAATCCCTAGAACAAACCGGAAACATATAAGCAAATGGCACCGGAAATTCCATAATAAAGGAGAAAGATATCTTTTTACATACTTTCAATAATTCATACATATAAAATCGAATATCATAATCTGATAATGTTGGATAAAGTTGCTGCAAGAAGACATACTCTGTGAAAATAGTTCTGCGAGCAGTAGATAGACATCACGTACTTTAAAATCAGTATTATTGACATACTCAAATATCAGCGCAGGTGTTCTTGACTAAAATGTTAATGAAAACCCATTGTTGTTTATCAGAGAATAAACATATTGCTTGCTGAACATCGTGATTATTCTCTCTATTTTCATTTACTCTCTTTCACTTTCGATGGAAAAACTGCGACTACTTACAACTGGATCTTTAACAATGTCCAATAATGTGATGATATTTGGACCACCTCTTAAATTTTGTAATATTTTGATTTCACGTTTGATCTTCTTCTTTTTAACTGGCTAGAAAACATACACAAACATAAACGATCCACAGTTTTATTTATTATTCATATACTTACTTTTAATATTTTAATAACAACTTTTTCATTATTTGTTATATTGATCCCTTCAAAAACTTCACTGTACTTTCCTCGACCAAGTTTTCTTACTATTTGATAATCATCCTGATTTCTTCAAAAAAAAAACAACAAATCTATTGTTTAAATCATATTTTGCTGCAATTTTTTTTGAAAACTAACCCCCACTCAACAACATGTAATTCATAATCCCAATATTCTCGGGGACGATGTGTATTACAATCAGCATAGACCCGAGCTCGACTTGGTGCAGCCATAAGTCGAACTACGACGTCAGCCAATAGAAAATAAACAAAAACTAAATACTTGATCTAAAATATACACAGTCACTTATGAAAGAGAGAGAAAGGCAAATAATTTCTACGTTAATAATACAGTAGTTTAGAATCTACAATTGTGAGAGCGTAAAAGGTTAATTTGCAGTTAATACACTGTTCCTTGGCAAACAAATTTATGCGTCGATGCAAGCGCGTGAGTAACAAATACCAGTAACTTACTCTAAACAGTTTTAAGCTTTTTAATACGTCTGGAAGAAAAAATTTTGAAGTCGATGGTTAAATAATTATGATCTAAGTGAATAGGGCGGGACGCAATAAATACGATAATTCTCATGAGAAATTAGATCTTTCTTGGCTGCTTTTGAGTTAACAATCTCTAAAACAGCCGTGTTGTTAACAACGAGATTTATCATACATTTTCTATTTCTGAGAGGACTTGACCGTCTATCAGAGATCACGCATAGTGAAGAATATTTAGCCATTTACTTCTCTTGTTTGACTCAGAAAATTATATCACATCAACAGACAAGAAAAACTATAAATAAAATGTCCCAGTTGATAATACTTTAGAGTGAAAGAATTATTAACTTAATCAAAATGCATGCAAAAGAGAAAATAGATGTCAGACAATGCTGGACTGGTAATAATGATGCAAGATAAGTGAACCTAGCGACATAAGTTCATTATGTAGGTTTCACTAGTAAAAATTATTTTTCACCAAATTGATGAAATGGGGATCCCATTTCTACTATGGTTTTGCTAATAAATGTCAGTGTTTAGACAAGAGATATCAGAGTCACTAGTGGTCGGTGGTATACGTTAAGAAATTAAAGGCTGATACTGGATACTATAATAAATATAAGAATGATGAATAGAGATCATGTAGGTCATTTTGATTGCTATACTGACTGACTTTTCTGCTTCGCCATAGTGCTTTTGTGTATTCCTCTTCACTGTATGTTACTCTTCTAAACACGTTCGTTCGTTGACTTTCTCTTCCAGTTTTAGAACGGTATTCGCCCTTATAGCGTCGTATGCTCTTTTGTAGAAAAACAATATTGAATCGCGAAAAATGGTGTTCAGAGTTGTTCGAGAATAATCCTTAATTGCCTCATTGGCAAAATAATGATTAATTGTGAAAACAAATACTTTTTTCTCATTTAGGAAGAAGGATTTAGATACGATAGTCTGGCACAGCACGTGCCGCTTTCAGTGTGCATTTGTGTTTTAAGGTCACAGATGAAAGGAATAGAGAAAGGAGCCGCATAAGAGATAAACACAAATGGAAATTGGTCTCTATCATGATATTATAAAAGATGATAAATCTGAAATGAATCATATTTCTGTCACAATCGCGTGTCAATTTAGTTGTACAATAATTGGCTGAATAGTGTTAAGTTTAATGGTGGTACTCTCTTTTTCTCGCGGCCTTCAGAATTTTCATTCAATAAATCAAAAATCGCAGGTTTCGATCGGCACCTATATAGTCTGATGAATTGAATTATATTATGTCGAGTTTTGTAATAGATAAGTATATTTTTATTTGTTTATTTCTAGATATGTAGGACGCTGGTTGTAGTATTCATTTTTCTTACTCTTTGACTTGGACTTCTACTCTTGACTGTGGACGAAATCAAGACGATATCTTCCTTTCTCTCTCTTTTCTCCTACTATTATTTTCTTTGACGTGTACACTTCAAAAGAAATAGACAACAAAAATCTTCAACTGTATTTTTGTTTCGGACTCGTTTGACGTATATTGACAGTTGCTTTATTTGTATTTGTGTGTCTATCGACTACTATTACTGCTGATTTTCCTCTCCTCTGGTGACTTTGGAAACAAAAAAAATGCAATTAATTGAACAAGCACAATCGTTATTAAATTTTGATCAAACATTTGATGTTAATGTTCTGGATGCTGTTATCAATACAATGTATCGTGGACAAGGCGATGCTGTAAGCTCGAATATTAAGATCTAGATTGAAATTTGATTTGTTTATTGTTTTTTTTTTCTTTAGCAACGACAAGCAAGTGAAATGCTGAATTTATTACGTGATCATCCCAACGCATGGACAAAAGTTGATAGTATTTTGGAATTCTCACATTGTCAAGAAACAAAGTATTATGCATTACAAATATTGGAAAAGACAATTAAAACAAGATGGAAAGCATTACCAAAAGAACAATGCGAAGGTTAGTTCTTTGAAACAAAAGTAATATCTGTCATGTATTCTTATCTATCTTAGCTATCAAACAATACATTGTGAGCTTAGTTATTTCTCATTCACAAAATGCAGAATTAATGGAACGAGAAAAGGTTTATTTGAATAAACTCGATGTTATATTAGTACAAGTAAGTCATTTTTCAATAGATTATACTATTTCGAAATCAATGATATTGTTCTAGATATTGAAAAATGAATGGCCAAAAAAATGGCCAACATTTATTAGCGATATTGTTGAAGCTAGTAAAACAAGTGAATCGATGTGTCAAAATAATTTAGAAATTTTAAAATTATTAAGGTAATAGTGTTTCGATAGTTTTGCTTTATATTCAATCGTTAATGTCTGATACATAATTTTAGTGAAGAGGTGTTTGATTTTTCATCTGGGCAAATGACACAAGCAAAAGCAAAACATCTGAAAGATACAATGTGTAATGAATTTACAAAAATATTTCAACTCTGCGAATATGTTGTTGTACGTATGAAAAATAATTTTTTTTGAGGATTCTTTTTTTGTTATAAACGATGAACGTTCTTTTTAGGATAAATCACGACATCCACCGTTATTATTAGTGACATTAGAAACATTGTTGCGCTTTCTTAGCTGGATACCATTAGGCTATATATTTGAAACAAATATGGTTAATACTCTGATTGAAACATTTTTTACTGTTCCCATGTTTCGTAATGTCACATTAAGATGTTTAACAGAAATTGGTATGTTAATTTGTGCGTATTTTTACTTACAAATAAGCCCAGTGTTTTGTTCTTTTTTTAGCAAATATTCAAGTATCGCAGTATGAAGATAAATTTATTGATTTTTTTCGACGTACAATGCAACAGTTAAAAACGGTATGTAGAAAATTTCTCTCTATGCATATTAACCGAACTTTTTACTTGCTGACTTTGTACTAGAAATTTTTTTTTATCATTTCTCGTTTAGGTTTTACCTGTGACAATCAATTTAAAAGAAGCGTACCGTACAGCTAAAGATGATGATCAAAAGTTTATACAAAATTTAGCATTATTTCTATCAAATTTTTTAAAAGAACATGGAATATTAATTGAGCGTACGCCAGATTTAAAGGATACATTATTGGAAGCATTACAATATCTTGTGCTTATATCGGAAGTAGAAGAAATAGAAATATTTAAGATATGTTTAGAATATTGGAATATACTAAGTGCCGAACTTTATCGTGAGGTACCATATCAACAAGCTACGCCATATATAAGAAATAATAACAACAATATAGGAACAGCTCAGACACGCAGACAATTCTATAGTACAATGTTATCAAAAGTATGTTTTTTTTTACCATATTTCTTTCTCGTGTGACTCTTCTATTGGAATCAGTTTATCGACAATGTATCTCAGCACAGTTCAGTACTCTATTTGACGAATGAGAACGTTCTTCTTCCTAGAATTATAAAACTGGAGACAGTTCAAAGAGTAAAATAAATGGACAACTTCAGAATCATAATTTTGAATGAGAAAAGCCGTTAGGGCGAGCAAAGACAGTATGCAGCTAAAAAAATGGCTATGCCTAGAAGAAATTTGGAGAACTAAGTAGATTTTTCCTTAAATTTGCATACAATGAGTGGCTGATCATCCCATGCTCATAAGATCGAGTTATTCACTATCCTTTATGATACTTTTTATCTGAATTGTAGGTTCGTCGCATAATGATATCTCGAATGGCTCGACCAGAAGAAGTTCTTGTTGTTGAAAATGAACGTGGTGAGGTTGTACGAGAGTTTATGAAAGATACGGATGCTATCAATTTGTATAAAAATATGCGTGAAACACTTGGTATGTGATCTTCTCGTTTTGTCATTAACTAAATGAAAGTCAATTGTTTTTCTTGTTTAGTTTATTTAACACATTTGGATTATGTTGACACAGAAGCAATTATGACTGAAAAACTCTCAAACCAAGTTAATGGAACGGAATGGTCGTGGAAGAACTTGAATACGGTGTGTTCTTTTGAATCTTTTCTCAAGTTCCTCATAATTTTGTTTGTTTGACATTTTTAGCTGTGTTGGGCAATTGGTTCAATCTCAGGTGCCATGGTGGAAGATGATGAAAAACGTTTTCTTGTTACTGTCATCAAAGTATGTATTACTCTTAGTCTAATTTATGTTAAAATATGTCTAAACTTTTTCCTGAATGTAGGAATTGCTTGGTCTATGTGAACAAAAACGTGGTAAAGATAATAAAGCCATAATAGCATCAAATATTATGTATGTCGTTGGACAATATCCACGTTTTCTTCGTGCACACTGGAAATTTTTAAAAACAGTTGTTAACAAACTATTTGAATTCATGCACGGTACGTTCACTTTTTTTTATTGTTTTTTGTTGTTTTTATCTTTGTTTTTTCTTGTAGAAACTCATGAAGGTGTTCAAGATATGGCTTGTGATACATTTATTAAAATCGCACAAAAATGTCGTCGACATTTTATTAGTATTCAATTGGGTGAATCACAACCATTTGTTGAAGAAATATTAACCAATATAAATGGGATAATCTGCCATTTGGAACCACATCAGGTGCATACATTTTATGAAGCTGTCGGAAATATGATAGCAGCATCTGTTGACGTTATTCAACAAACGAAATTAATCGAGAAGTATATGCATTTGCCAAATGATGTATGGAATACAATTATAACGGAAGCTAAAAAAGTAAGTGATCTATTAGCATTAATTATATCCTTCTGAAAGATTGCCTCACGTACTAATTTGTATAATACAATGTCGCAATAGAATTACAAATTTTTTCATTCTTTATCTTGGAACATGTGATCATTTGTCTCCATTAAGGATACACAAGTAAAGTTTTTCTATACTATATTATTGTCACTATTATTTTAGTCTGTTGATTATTTAAAAAATCCCGAAGTTGTTGGAAACATTTTAAATATATTGAAAACAAATATACGAGCATCAAAAGCTTTGGGTGCTCCATACGTACATCAGGTATTATATTTGTGGTAGCAATGAGTGTTTACTTCTATTAAAGTTTAATAATACTGTTTAGTTGACAAAAATTTATTTCGATATGTTACATATTTATAAAGTAACATCGGAAAATATCAATACAGCTATACGTGTTAATGGAGAAATGGTTGTTAAACAACGTTTGATTAAATCAATGATGGCAATCAAAGAAGATTCACTTGTATTATTAGGAACATGGTTTAGCAAATCAAACAATGTTCAACAAGTAAGTAGTCTTATGAATGAAGGAATTTAAGAGCAATATTAATATATTTTATCTTATTTAGATTCTTGATACATTTATTACACCATTATTCAGTTTTGTCCTTGTTGATTATCGTGATTGTCATCCGGAAGCCAGAGAGCCCGAAGTATTGAATATGTTAGCAATATTAATTAATAAAATCGAAGTATGATATTGCATAATGTTTCTGTTTGATTGTTTTATTTTAATTTTATTCGTTTAGAGTCGTTTAACTAATCGTATTAGTGAAATATTTGATAATACATTTGAATACACGTTAAATATGATAAACAAAAATTTTGAAGATTTTCCCGATCATCGAAAAAACTTTTATCTATTATTGCAGGCTGTTACTAATGTTTGCTTTCCATGTAAGTAAAGGCATGACAATGATATTTCACTTCTATACTAATTGTTCGAGTTTCTCTATAGTACTCTTCTTCCCATGCATTTATAATCAGCTATTTAGTTTTAGACTAGTGTGACAACAATAGTACAAGAAATAGAGTAGTTCAGAATAATTTTTAAAAACCGAAACATATATTTGAATGAGTCCTTTTTTCTTGTTATAGCATTGTTAGCATTGAATCAAGCACAATTTAAATTGGTTTATGATTCTGTTATGTGGGCAATTAAGCATACAATGCGTTCAATATCCGAAATTGGTTTAGAAATTCTTCAATCAATGTTAAGAAAATTTCAAACGTGTGATCCTCAAGCAGCACAAACATTTTACCAAGTTTATTATTTGGAAACAATGCAACATATATTTGCTGTCGTTGCTGAATGTTCACATACATCTGGTAATATTTCTAAACTTTCTTAATACTTTTTCTAATTCACATTTGTCGTTTATTCATTTTAGGTTTAACAGCTCATTCACAGATCTTAGCTAACTTATTTTTGATTGCTGAAACGGGTCTCATTAAAGTACCATTAGCACCAGAAGTCACGGACCCTACACAAAATTTATTATATGTACAACAATTTATGGCTAACCTATTGAAAACCGCTTTTTCGCATTTACAAGATAATCAAGTGAAAGTAATGGTCGAAGGTTTTGTAACATTAGATCAAGATATAGCTGGATTTAAAGAACATTTACGTGATTTCTTGGTACAAATACGTGAAGCAACCGGTAATGATGTAACCGATTTATATCTTGAAGATCGTGAATTAACATTAAAACGTGCCGCCGAAGATAAACGTAAAGTTCAAATGAGTGTACCTGGTATGTTGAAAATTTTTCTCATTCATTGATACACACATCATTATTTTCTTTCAATTTTAGGCATATTAAATCCGCACGAAATTCCCGAAGACATGCAAGATTAAAAAACAAACAACAAAGAACTATGGCAGAACCTTCTTCGTCTACTATTGTTGAAAGAGATGAGAGATTGTCTGCTCTCATACGAACTGAGCGATTTTTTTTGTTTGTTTTAGAACAGTCTGTTCGAAATTCTTTTTTGTGGTGAGCTTGGACCCTGTGTGGAGAAACAAAAAAACTTTATGTACAAACTGCATATTCTCTCTTGATTTTTGATCTATAGTCGTGAGAATAACGGTGAAAATCCGTTTTCTTTTTTTTTTCTCTGGTTTTTGTACAAGTCCTCTTCTTTGTTGTTTGTAATTTCATTACTCATCATCTCTCTCTCTTTCTGTATCTATACATATAGTTGCTTCTTCTATTTTTCGATTTTCTATTTGTGTTTGTCGTATTAACAAAAAAGAAGGTAACGACAATTTTTCTGTTTTCTCTTTGAATAGTTTTCTTTTTTCTGCTGCAGCTGCTGATGTTCCTTTTGTTGTATCGATTCAAAATGAAAAGTTTATTGATGTAAATCTTTGACTTTTCTTTTTTAGCTATGTGTTTGTTGTTGCTTCTTTAAAGAAAAAAAAGTATCACCATCAAATTAAAGCCAATAAATAACAATGAAAAGCAGTAACTGAATTATAAATGCTTCATTTTGAATTGAGGTAAACAGCGGTTAGTATATATGTATTGAATCTTCTTTATATGTAGTAAAAGTGACTAACGTTTGATATTGGTGTGGTGATAATAGAGAGATAATGGCATGCACTTTCAACACAAAGCATTATAAATGTTTGATATTGAAACTATAGGAGCTAGTAAGTTAAGTAGGTCTTATTTTCGGAAATGGACTCTGAGACATGATGATAGCTAGAAACTAAAAACAAATGAATGATCGTACAATTATTTTGTCCGATGACGAAAAATGATATACTCCGTCGGGTTTAGAAACAAGGTATAAAACCATGTGAGCATCATAAATTGGAAAATATAACGCATCACTGGATTTACAAAATTTCTCTTTGACATGTAGTATGGAATATGAGTTTGTGTTTTACATATCAAAATAAAATCTGACAAAAGTCATATCTATAGTTGAATGTACAACAGATAGAAAATTGAATGCTATACTGATTAAGATATTTCAAGTGAAAATCTATTAAGTATTTACAGATCTATTCGGGGCGATGATCCCAAATCTACGAAAAAATAAATAAATTTAAAAGAGTTGTTATTTATTATTTTTGGCGAAGTTTCATATACGATACAACTTTCGAGTCATCAGATATCCCGTATGTTATACTATTTATCAAATATATTTATTTAGAATATTTTAATAGGTGTCAGAAATCTTAATCTTAATTATATTGTTGAATAATTTGAGTTTTGTATACTGGAAGATGTGCATTTTGCATAGTTTTAAAACAAGTTGTTCATTCATATTATGACCTTTTGCAATGACTGATTAATGCGATAGTGTAGTTCTTTCTCTCTTTTTTGTTATTCTGATTTTGGCTCTATGACATTATATTTTCAATATATTATACAATGGAAAAGTCTCTTTTGTATATCGTCAAGTTTGTTATAAACTCTATAATAAATCATTATGTCATGTAATGAATAACCGTGAGAATAAAAATTAACTAGGCTATAAAGAGTATGAACATAACATTCAACGTTGTGCATCCATTTATGTCATGTATTTCAATTTTGCCTATTCAATACCGTTGATTCTTCTGTCAATTAACCCTTTGGTTACCGTCATAAGAGAGAAAAAAACGATTTTTCAGAAAAGACATTATAAATATTTGTGTCTGACCCAATTTCGCAGAATTGTACGAAATTAACCTTAGATCTTCTGTAAACTATGAGAATCTTTGAAACAGTCGATAATGCACAGCCCAACATTGCATTCGGTACACTGGTAGCGATAGTCGGACTAAACATTGGTTTCTTTGGCCGAAAGTTTCCTGTTCTCCAAGATCCACCGTAAGGTTGAGGAAATGCTGGTTGCGAAGAATCTTCATCAGAAACATCGTCAGAGTCACTGCAGTAGTCAGTTGAATCTATTTCAGTTTCAGATCCTGATTCAGAGTTTGCTAGAATTTCAGCGACTTCCTGATCCGAAAGTTGACGTCTTGATGTTGCCATTTTCACAAAACAAATGATGATGTAGAAGGCTCGTGCTGCCTGACGTTACGCAAGAAATGTATCTAAAGAACATGCATTATGAGTGATTGCGTTAGCTTCACGCAATGATAAAGCTCATGACTCATATATGCGTCGTCGGTAACCAAAGGGTTAATTGTATGTGGTTCATTGTCTGATAAATATTCAAGACAGATGCTAATATTATTTGTGAATATTGGTTGTTTACTACTTTTAAGTCATATCCATCTACGTATTAAGACAGGGACGTGAGATTTTCACACTTTTTTCTTATGATACTACCACCATGAATCGGGCTTGGTGTTAAATTCATAAAATCTAGTGTTAGTAGTTGTTTTATCGCTATGTCCAAGATTTCATTGAAAAGAAAGAAAATTTAATTTAATATTAGCTTTTATAAAAATAGAAAATGAAATATGACATAAATTCCACTATTATTAAGTCAATGTTGCAGCATTCAAATGATTGATCATCTCTATTTGGTCAGAATAAATAGATCATTTTAACAGCAGCACAAAATTTTATCTATATTATTTAATTATATTATTTATTTGATATTTGCTTATTCTGTGACTCATGCTCTTGAATATCCATGATATCAGATGAAGATTATGAACAAATAACTGCGAGTCCAAAATTCGCACCTTGTAAGCAAAACTTGACTTGTAAACGTTTTGTGACCTGTACTCGAACTTATGGCTATATTTTGGTCGGATAAAGACTTTTCCTTGAGAAAGCATTTGATAAAATTCCGCATTCTGTACTTCTTCAGAAACTTTCTTTCATTGGGGAATGCTCTCTTATTTTGTTTGTTTTTAGTTATACAGGTAACACTAAGGCTTCTGTTTATCAGATGTTATAAGTTACTAAACGTTTACTTTCTTTTGTAATGTCCTTGCTTATGCAAAATAAATTTGAACTTGAACTTGAACTTTTGGACTCGCAGTCATTGTTCAGAATCTTGACCTGATATCCATAACCATCGTGCGCTTTTCAAAAAACTAAAGTTCGAGCTCTAAAGTCGGATAATTAAGTTTTCGTATTTGTGAATATGTTAATTTTAATTTCCACTAGGAATAATTAAAATTCCATTGGATTTTAATTTCTCTTGCAATATATCCATTCATCATTATGTTTATTTTAAATCAAACTTAAAACAGATGAACATTGCTTGTAGCAGAAAAACGATTTCATCGAGCTTTAGCAGAATCATATAGGGGAAATTTTATAGAAATATTTGTTTGAATAAGCCGAAAATCTTCTAAATAGAGCGTAACTTGATATGAAAATCATGTTTTTCATGGATTAACGGTTTAATCTCCTTGTTGTCATGCATCTTATTTCATCATGAGTAGTGGAAAAGAGAAAAACAAAAACGATTTCAATTAGTACAAAAGAATATCTAAATTGACTGTGAAGTACATATAAGAGGTTCTTATACATGCAATGAAATCTACTGATAACAGATTTTTTCATTTTAAACTTTATTTTATGTTAATGGTAGTTGCATATGCTTTTAGAGATCAATTAGTAAATAATTATAACGGAATAAGTTTATTGCAATAAGAATTTTGATGAATATTTGATCTTTTCCAGATATGAATTCAATCAACAAAAGAAAAACAAAATCTTCTCAAATGGAAGCTACTATTTTCAGAAATGTTAACTTGGTTATAACATATGTGAAAATGGGTTCGAATCGAAATTTTACTCGCATATGGATCAGTTATGATCCATTGCTTGTGAAGAGACTTTTGGAAATTTGTGTGATGAACAGTTATTAAATAATTATAGTTTATTATTTTCACTGAAGAGAAAAGACCGGAGAATGAATGTATCAGAAACGAAATATCTGTCGATTTTTTAAATTTTTAAAAAAAATCGTCCATATTGCTCTTTTATTTAGAGACGATGTTTTATTGTAAATTAAGTTTTTATTCTGAGAGGTATTTACATTTAGATATTGCAAGCAGTAGTTCGATTGATTGATCATCCGATAATCTTGATGTTAATTGAGCATTTATAATTGAATTGTCTCTATCGTCAAATCAGACTTCAATCAATATTGTATTCTACATCTGAAATGTGGACTATTTTTAGTTAAATTTGTAACATAGAATATATTCTTTTATTGTTAATGTGTAATTAATTGTGAAAAAAGAAAAGATTATTTTTTCATATTATTTTTTTTTGAAAAATCTAGGAAGTGTTTGATTTTAATTTGTCATATTTTAAATTGTATAGATTAAAATATAATTAAAGAGAAAAATAATTTGCAAAAGAAAATCAATGATTCATTTCGATGCTTAGAGTTTAATTGAAAAACTAGTGGATTAAAAAATAATTTACTATGCTTGAAAAATTTTTAATCTATCATGTTTTGTTATCTTATATTTACGACAAATAAATTGCAAAATTGATACTATCGAGTAGATCATGTCTTACAGATAGTTTTTTTTGTTCTTAATTGATTTTCTATGTATATATATATATATATATATGCTCTTTTTTTGATAAAGAATAAGAAGAGCTTATCATACTTAGCGTTTTTTCTTCTAAGATAAAAGAATTTTTTCTTCTCAATTTTCACGTATTCCACTGACGATTGTAGTTGTAGAATTTGAAAATATTTTCTATCTGTGTTAATAAAACTGTTCTATCATATTTCTAAATGTGTAATTTTTCCAATTTGCACTAGCTATAAAAGAAATAAAAACAAAAAAAAAAAACTACAAATATTTTCGCTTTAATAAAAGTCTTTTTTGTATATATATATATATTTTATCGTGTATAACAAAATTATTTATCATTCATTTATTTTTTTTTTTTTTTTTTTTTATTTTATCCTCATAAATCATGGTCAAATTTCTTATTTCTTGATAAAAAAAGAAAATCTTCACACACACTTTCATAAAGACAAAAACTAGGTTAATGTTTGTCAGTTCCATTGAATGCGCTAATACTCTGTAATTGTTTTTCAATCATTTCCTGGGTTTTTTTAATAAAAAAAAACAAAAACTATATATATATAGTTTTGAGAAACGTTTTAAGTAGAACTTCGTCGCTTCTATAGGTTTTCTCCTTTTTTTTCATACTGATAAAAAGAAATATTATATAGAGATTGAAGTAATGATTCTTTCTAATGATGTTTGGTACATCGGAAATAATATTGTCTTCTTCAAAAAGATCGGAGATGTCTTCTTCTTTTTTTTTTCTCAAACAGTTATAAGACAAACAATTTTTTTCTACGTTATTCTAGTGTTATATCAATCATTATCAAATAGGAGACGTATGCGGAAATAAAATGTACTGTACTCATTAGTTAAAAAGTGAACAACTTTTTTGTTAAAAGATTTTTTTTCAATCATTTGATAATATCAACGTGATTGAGATCAGAAAGCGAACAATATTTTAATCTAAACTTCTAATCTAAGAGTAATGACATTCAGGATCAACTTTTGAGAAATTGAAGTTTCCATGGTTGACAAAATTTCTTTATCAATATCTCTATCATTTTGACCGTCTGAATTTTTGAAATAAAAAAGAGTTTAGGTTTTTAAGTACGTATTCATGTTTCTTTTATGTTTTCAATACAACATTTGATCGTCTATTTTAGAAAAATTAAACCATGATAAGAAACGTGTGTTGAGAGAGAGTTAGAAACACTTTACTCCCGGTTTCTCATAAGTATGCTTATTTATGACATAAATAAAAGCTTTTTTCTTTATTCATTAAATACAAAAGTGTCGTTGAAAAGTTGATCTCTGTTTTCATCTCAATAAAAAAAAAAAAGGTTTTTTAATGGACTTGACAAAGTGCTTTTTAAAGTCTGTTGTAAATATAAAAAATTTTATTTGACAGTTTGGCTATTAATTCAACAAATCAACTGTTAAACACGACGCTATTATTGTTAAATTCGTTAGCCGGTTGTTGTTCTTATTAAACACGTTGTCTCCGGATTCATATCGCATCTCTCTCTCTCTATAAAGATCTAATAAAGGTATAGTTAGTCTAGTTACAAAAAAGAAAATGAGAAAAAGAAAACCTGGATTCTTTCCTTTATAAATTATAGGAAGAGTCCGATAAAAAAGCAAATATATATTCTAGCGAAAACTAAAGAAATATGAGATAAAATGGAAGTGTAATACGATGGCGTGTATGTGTAATCTTCGATCTTTAAATGATAGTTTGTTGCTTATTATCATTTTCTCTTTTCTGCTTCTTCTTCTGTCTACCGCCGTGTTGGATATTTTTTTATAGATCTGTTTATTAAATTTCCGGAGTCGAGTCGACAGAGGGAGGAAAAAAAGAAAAAAATTCTAAGAAAAATCACTGTTGTTGTTCTTGTTATTATTATTATTATTATTATTATTATTATTGTAACAAACAATGATAATGTGATTTCTTCTATTGTGTGACTATGCAGTACGATTTTTGGCATTATTACTATGTTTATTGGAAAATCATTTTTATGCTCAAACAAATTCGGTATGTAATAAATATTTTACCTTTTCCTTTAAATATTTGCCTTTTTTAAATTAGTTTAGATCAAGTCAATGTCATTATCTAATTCATGATGAAAATCATGCAACAACAACAATAGCAAATGATACAGTAATAACACCTTGTCATTTCTAGATATTATATCCACAGTGGATAATTTTAACTAGTCATATAGATATATCCTATAGAAACAGTGTGAAAGCATTTTTCTATAGGTTTTCGGATGTGCTCTTTTAAGTGATGCAATTTGCAAAGTTCAAAAATACTTATAGATGGATTTTCAGAGATCCGGGTCTCTGGAGATCCCGATAAACAGCGTTTTTAAAAAAATGAAAAAAAATATTCATAGGCTTTCACACTGCTTCTATAGGATATGTCCATGTGTCTAGACAAAATTGCCACAGTAGTGCTTCAACACTAGCATTCCATTATATAGAACAATTTTTTTCTCAGAAAAACCTACAAACCACACATCATTTGATGCAGTTTTCTGCGCTGAGTCCAAATATCTCATTATTTTTCAATAAAAGCATTTCTGTACCGAGAAAAATGGAAAATCTAAAAAAAAACTACAATTAGTCTTTAAAAAATATGTGCATTTTTGTGCATTCGTCATAGAAGCAGCATATGTCGACGAACATTTTGGTGTAATTTTGAGTTCGATTCGAGGTTGAATGTCGGGGGATACCTCATTACAATTCAAGGGCCTATATTGAACACGGCGGTAATATTATTTTTTCTGATTATCGATCCAAATTGAAATGTTTATTTACTGTTAGATAGTTAACTGCGTCTCGATTTCGAATATATACTTTTCATAATTTTGAATTGACTTGATTCAAACAGAAAAATTAGCTTTTCCGCAAATGTCGCTAATACATAGGCTATTTTTACTTATACTTTTTTCCGAAAGTTCGCTACTTGAAACAAAAATTTTTACGCCATTAGATAGTCCATTATTCACAGTATATTCGACACTGTTTAAATTTTGAAAAAGCGCACTTTCGAATTTTTACCAAATGTCCGCATGGTTGCCTGCTGTGATATATTTATTTTTTATAATAGTACAACACTTTTCCTCTGTAAACGGTTTTCAAACATCAACGTATACTTACTTTAACGATGATTATTTACTGATTTTAGGATGAAATTCAGACTTCATTTGGACTTTTCAAACATTTGAATAAAGATGATAAAACAATGTATGATTTAATAAATAACATGCGAAAAAATGATCGCGACTTTGTTTATGATGATGAGGAAGAGGATATACAAGATGAGGATATTAATTATCAAGAAAATATTCCTAATGAATACGATGATAAATACATAAATCAAACACAAACCACTAACGGAGAGAAGAATGATTACGTTTTTTCTTATAGAAAAGATGACAATGCACAAGATTCAGTCACAGTACAACAAACCAAAAGTATTTAAAAATATTTTTGCACGTCTCTACTGGCATATTGTTTCTACATTATTTTCTTTTTTTTACAGATCTAGTGAATTCTACAACTGAACAATCGCGATTAGCCGACACCTCGCGTGAGTAGACTAATATTTGTAACAGCACGCTTATTTCTGACGAGGTATGCACAAAGAATTGACCCTTATCGCACAGTAGACATTTTAATGATACCAGGTAGACATTCGAATCTTTACATAAACCATTTCTTCGTGAATAATTATCTTAGCCTAGTAATTTCTGGTGTTTTTAAAGAAAGGTTTAACGTTTCAGAAAAAATCACATTTTTCGGAGAATCGGTCTTATAGGTTCAAAATTTCGATCGAAATTTTTTCTATACTTATTATGTTATACATGATTCGATACAACTCGACGCGCTGATTTTGAATATGTCGTTTTCATCGAAGAAAACGCTTTTTTAGTAGAGAAAAAAGGATTTTACTTGAAAACTCAGGTTTCTGGAAAATCCTGTCGCAAGGTCTACGAAAACTGGCACTATCTGTATAGATGTTGTATAATATTGATACAGAGTTTGAGTCCGTTTCAAACTCGGAGGAATTGGAAACACTCATTCTACTGTTTACAGCTGATAGTTAAACAGAAGCAGTGTACGCCTATAGAAACTTGTTCATGTAGTTACTTAGCGGTAGATCTTAAACAATCTTTGGTCATAACCTCGATTTTCATTTAAATTTTGAGATCAAGTACTGGTTTTCAAGTACGAAACACTAAACATGAAACTTACTTTTTCTTTCAGGGATAAACGACAAATCAGCTCCAACGTCGCTAGTGAACAATTCTGTTAAAATCAATTCATATCAGAGATTAATTTGGATATTCATCTCTTCTTTATCTTACCTGACTACATTAGATAACAGATAGTCCTTCTTAAATTTGTAGTTTTTGTATATATGCATGAATCTTCTTTGCACAACTATTTGTTTTAATTACGTTTTTATTTTTATTTTCACATGTAAACAGTAAAGGTAAGTATTTAAATTAACTAATTAATTAGACTACAAAAAAATGAGACTATGAAAATTTTCCTGCAATTATCAATGGCCCATAATCACAACGTGATGATGTCTTCACATGTTGATACAATTTTCTTGCGTTTTGTTTCTACATCAGAGACCGAACCGAGTCAAGCTCATTTAATCCGAACCCCACCCGACTTTTTTTATTTGACTCGGATCCGAGCATTGATCCGATCCATTTCGGTCTCTGCTATACACTACACGCAGTCCATACAATCAGATGTATCGACTTCATCAGGATGTGAATATGGTCTCATTCGATTCGTCTCAGCTCGGAAATATATTTAAAAGAGAACGCAATTAGATCGGAAAGAGAATGTTTCTCATTTTTCAGAGAACACAATTTTGTTCAGGTTGAATAGAGAACACATGAAAGGCTAATAAGAAGTTAACACTTGTAGGCTGAACAGAGACTATGTGACAGATCAGGCAATTAATACAGCAGAATGTACTAAAGAAACTTCATAGTTACCACCTTCATAAATATACAGTCACCTGTATCTAACGTATACACTTCATTTTGAAAAAATGACAGGAAGAATGGGATGTTTTGTTGAGAATTTCTTACAAATTTCATACAAAAAATATACTGAATGCGATGCAATCAATGATTTGAAGCAAATTTCCGTTTGTATAACAAAAAAACATAATGATGACATTCATAGTGCATCCATTTATCAAACATCATCTGTACATGAGATTGTTCAAAAATCTATTGCGACAGAGCTAACAAAATTACAGATATCATTTGGTAATACAAAATGTTATTCTATATAAAATTAAAATTTGATGTCGGAATGTACAAGTATTAACATTGATGGTGGGGAGCTTGTTAACCTCTTATTAAGAGTTAGCCTGTCATACATTCTCTGTTCAATCTGAAAATCAGTACATTCTTTAAAAAATTAGATATATTCTCTTTCCAACATAATTGCATTCTCTTTTAAATTCTTATCCTCTCAGCTCTTTATAAAATCGAATAATCAAATAAAGAGCAATCGCATGACTAGGAAAAAATTTGTAAAATTAAAACTAATTTTTAAACATAACTAACATCTGACATTTATCTGTTTTTTTGTTTGTCGCTGAATAAATATAGAAAAACTCTATTAAAAAGAAAACAAATCAAATACTCAAAATACTTTAAATCAAAATATTGTATTGACATTGTGAAGATCTCGTTCAAATTAGACAACTACTTTTCGGTTTTGATCGTTCTTCAAGATATTTCCAAATAAGCTATGACAAAAAATGTAATGTATTATTTATTTTAGCTAACAAAGTGTGATGTTATATACGTACATTACAAAATTCTTTTAATAAACCTTTCTCAGATTGTAGATGTTCATCATCATCTCCTTGCATACAGTCAATTGTTTCGTAAACTTCTGCTGCCTATAAAAATGAATGATAAATAAACATCATTATAAATAAAAATAAATATTCTACCTTAATAGCGTCAAACATGTTTTGAAGACTGACTTGTTGTTGTAATGGATCATCGTGATCATTTATTGATAAATTTTTAAATAATTTACGTTTACAATTTATTTCTGTTGATGATTTTGTTGAATGTGTTAAACGATCATAGATTGTTTTATCATTCAATTCAATAGGCATAATTGTATCAGAAAAATTCACATGATGCTGTTTTGGGGATGTTTGAGTGGATAAATCACATTTTTTCTATTAATGAGTATCAAACTAATAAATATATTTATGTCTTCTTTCTTGTACTTACTTGAACATCTCTATTTGAAATACCTACAGGATGACAAATAAAACAAGAGATTAGAAAAATTTTCACTAGAAATAATAGAACAACGATAACTTACCATTGACGATATTTTTTAAATAATCATTTTCTTGAATTAATTTTGTCTGTTTTATTTCTAATTCTGATACTTTTTTTTTATAGTCAACAATTTGTTGTCCTAATTTATTAGCTATACTATGACCAAATTGTTTATAGTTTTCTGCTAATTGATGCATTTTTTTTCGTTCATTATCAAGTAATAAACATAATTCTTTTAATTCATCATTATCAGATTGAGTATCAGTAAATATTTCATCATGATTATTCTTAACCATTGTTGATGACGACTTAAATATGGACATGCACACACATGTGTTGTTTAACACTGTTAAAAATACTTGAACAATATTACTTACCTTTGACATTTTAATAATGGCTAATAAAAACAGATGGATCTGAAATAATATACAAATCATTAACATATAAGATTTTCTTGAAGAATTTTGTCAAGATTCAAAATAAAATAAATTCAATTTAATAAACTTAAGTTTATTGAAAAAACCAAACGAATATGAAAAAGAAAAGGAAAATACCAAAATTTTGAAAAAAATTGCACCAGTGGTGGTTGTTCTCGAGATCCAATAAAGTTAGAATAAACTTCTCATGACGTTGTTTGTAAACATGTTGAACATTAAACACCAGTAATGAACATCAGTGAAAAGATAAACAATTAGATATCTCCAATTTTATCATCAATAAAATGATCAAATAGAATATCTCCAATGACTGACCCTAATCAAATGATGCTGATTATCAAGAAGAAGAAAAGCAGCATTGATACTAAAAACTGCTGTCCATGCAAAAGTGTTTTTTTTTCTTCCGTACTGATTATACGTTTTGTGTAAACATTTCTGCTTCAACAGAATCTATAGCACCATGCGAAATTAACGATGCACTACTAAACAAACATATTAACAATAGAAGAATCTCTAATAGTGCTTTAATAAATAATATAAGAAATAAGAGTTATTCTCAATAATAATGCATTCAAGCCTATAAAACTCAATGGCAAACGTAATTTAATATATAACAATCCATCGTGTTGAACAAATTATAAGAATAAAGTAGTAAAGATATTAAGTAAAACAATTAATTCACTTCTTCTGATAGCGGACACTCTCGAGTAAATGCAGAAATAAAACAGTAACAAATAGGTTTGTAAACGCTAAAAATAACATCAATCCTCGTCAATCTTATGATCATGTTTCTATGAAAACAAGATAGTTTAAGAGTGAAAACAAAAAAATGAGAATATACCAGGGGAGAAAAGCACCACTGCATCAACAGCACTTTTTATTTGTTGAGCTGTACTCACCATTGTAAAATGAAATCAGATTGTGCACATAACTGCGACGATCATATTTCGAATCATTCAACATGCACAACATTTGTCGTTTTATCTTATATACTTAAACTCGAAAAGTTAGTTGATGAAAATTAGTATTGATCCTTTTACACTTTAAATGCAGAGTATGAGTATATACTCGAGTACAAAATTCCTGGTACTTGTACTCTGGGCTTTTCTTAGTGCGTATTCCAAAAAGTACTAGAGTACCTCCCAAAAAAACTGGTGATCTTTCTTTTTACTATTTACGTATCAAAAAATCGATTTTTCCGAGGTCACCGGCTTCTGAAAAATTTTATACTCGAGCACTTTTCATAAAATACTCGTACTCAGTGTACGCATTCATCTCGCTTTAAATAATATTTTTTACTGTTAAGATTAAAACGATTTCATTTACTTTCTACACTTGAAATACTATCCAATATTGCATTTATCATCAACAACATAATTCTCGCTAAAATCGAAAGGAACAAAAATACACCACGAAGTAGCTCGTATATTGATAACTTACTGGCAATACTACAAAATGTAAAATAATTTTCTAGACTTAGATGTGTATGATACATCATCCCAAAATTCTAACCAACTGTTAAAAACACAAAAATTTATCATGGATTATCTGATTTTCTAAACAGACAAAAATTTACCCGCTTTAGGAGGATTGTTCTCAAACAATATATAAAACATCGTATTGATCATTGATAAAGATGTAGAAACTATCATTTCAATATTTTCACAAGCAATTTAAAATAAACACGAGAACCATTAGTGACTCTATTTTTTTTATAGAAAGTAGAATGTGATTAGAATTTTGACTGTTTGCGGGCTATGTACGCAGAAAAAATTGCAGGAGAAAGTAACGTAAAGATTAATTTTTGTTTCCTGACTCATTCTCACGCTATACACATAGCATCGGTAATTGAAATAATGCTTCATTGACTAAGTTTAAGTTCAATCGCAACTTATTCAATATCTAGTGACCAGTGAAAATTTCCAAAATTCTTGATTAAGAACTTTCGATACTTTTAACATTCGTAGAATAATAATAATAGAAAAAGACAGAATTTAGAAATTCTTAGAAAAAAAGTATCTAAATCTAATCTTAAAACTCTATTTTCTTACAGAGTGATCCTTCTGCGTTTCAGCGCAAGAATTCTCAGTATTCGATGAAATCTCTGTCAATCTTTAGTTAAATGTTTGCAATCTGACAGACAGTTAGAATAAGAAACCGTTGAGCTCTTAAAAAAAAAGTTTTAGTTAGGGCAAATGTAGAATTGAGTCGGTTTACTAACAGTTTGCAAATACTAATTCGGTTTTTGCCTTCAAATAACAATTTTCCTTGAATATATCAGTAGCACATATTCGATTAATGACAATAAAAAATTAATTAATTAACACAAAAGTTTGATTCCGTCACTTGTATTCGTTTAACCAATGACTGCTATCGAACATAAAATCGTCTACAATCTTAATACAAAAACATCAATGAAATTATTCTCAAAATTAAGAAATAAAGTATCAACAGTATGTATTAGTTCCATTGCTCATTACAACTTCATGGATATTGTGTAATAAAAATTAGTTGGACGAAATAATAACACAAAAAATTGAACAACGGATGTTTTTACTAAATCAATGAAGAATCAATTATAAGCTTACAATTTTAATGAAAAAGAAGATCGACGAAGTAGTACTCGTTTTGTGATCAATGTCTTCATTTCTATTGTTAAAGTGAATATTCGATTTCCGCTATAGTTTGAAGTAATAGATCATTGTCGAGACACGACACATTTAAATTAATCAAAATTTGACTATTTCATAAATTATAATTTTTTACAATCTTACTGAGAAGTTCCATTACACTGCAAAATTAAACTATGTGACAGCAATATTTGATCATTAATCTTAAATATAAGCAAAAGTGATAATTATACAAATTTAATTTGTTTGTACGATTTTTCCTAATAGTGTCATTAAATTAAAATAAAGTAAAATGAAATAAAATAAAATGAAATTTTATTCCATCAAGTACAAGAGTTAATTTCATCAGTGAATTTTCAACATAAACTGTACAAAACAATAAGAAAGCGACGGACAACATTAAACAACATCAGAAACAAACAAAAAATAAATACAGGAAAAACATAGTTCACTATTATTTGACAGATCATACAAAAAAAAGAAATATTAAAATGTGACTCGATAACACTACAGCGATAAAAGAAAAACTGTATATACATAGATAGGCATATTGCACAAAATTCTCTCAATAGTATTAGAACGATACGACTATTCAACAAGCATACAAATCTAACTATCGTCCTTTGACTTTAGTACTTGTTTATTATTATTTTGTAACGGTTCTTCAACGTATTGATCGTAATGGTAAAACCGATAACGTAAACTATCATTGGGACTTGCACATGAACTTGATAGGCCAGATGATGATGTATTAGAATTAAAACTGCTACCCTCATTTCTACTACTACCACCATTTTGATTCGAATAATTGCCTTCACCGAAATCATTATTGCTGTGTTCTCCGTTATTGTTTCCACCGTTATGTTGTTGCTGTTGATCATTTTCAAATGGATGAAATTGATTTTGACAACGTTCTAAAAATTCTTGTGGAAAAACGAGTGAACACCATTTAGAAGCAAGTGTAGACGGATGTGGTAAACACACACTACGTTCGAATGTTTTCTTTTCAATATCAAAAACAGAAGCTTTTAAAATGTAGCTTTCACTTGATGGACCATCATGTTCTTCTAATAGATACGAAATTTTATGTCCAATCATGCATGAACTGGATATGCACTGGTACGAATGACTAACCTAGAAATTAAAAAATCTCTCATTTTTAATCAAACATCATAAAAAATATGAAGTTTGTTACGCACAGGTATAGTTGCTACTTCCGACCATTGATTTGTAATTAAACAATATATTTCAATACATGGTGCTAATCGATACTTGTCGTCTTCACCACCGAAAAGAATAACACGATTATCCTTATAGAAAACAGTTGGATTGAATCTGACTGTTAATGGGGGTTCATGAATTTCTACATGACCAGTTTTTAAGTCAACAGCGTATGAATTTGTTGATAAACGATGATTTAAACCTAAAATAACTAAATTTTTTTAAAATATTGATCCTATTGAGACTAATTGTTTACCATCTGTATGTTTTCCACCAACTATAAATGCAAAATGTGAATAGACACATGCACCGGGCCACTTTAAAATTGGCATTGGACATACTAAACTTTGCCATTGATCTTTTTCAATATTATAGACTTCAATCGCTGTTGAACATGGATGAGTGGCATAAAAATTCCCTGAAACAATAGTTTTATTCATATACAATGATTTGCATAAATAGAACCTATAATTTTATGCACAGTAATCCTAGAGCTAAAAGTTCTAATAAATGCCTCACTGATAATTATTATATACAGTTTTATTTAGAACTTACCTCGATCGCCGTAAACGCCTCCAACAGCTACGATGGAATCATGAGATCTAAATACATCAGCAAAACAAATAATTATTGTGCAGAATAATGAATTGCATTATCATACGAAAAATCTACTTACCCGGCTAGAGTAAAAAACTGTCTTTTCTCTTTCATTTGAGCAATCTGAGACCATGATCCAGACCGTGGATCGAAACGATAGCTATTTAAAAAAAATAATCAAAAGTATGAACCCTATCGATAATCTAACAATCAAATATTTCCATACCAAGTATTTGTTGTTTCGCGATTATTCTCACTATATCCTCCACTAAAATCAAAAACATTTTATCAACATTATCCTTAATCGATTGTCTTTTTTGCTGTCTATTTACCAAGCATAGAGAAAATTATTGACAACAACAAATTTTTGACTTAATGTTTTCCATGTTGCTAATGAATTACACATATATTGCCTAGAAAGAAAGAAATAATATAAAATTTATTTTTTTACAAGTTTAATATAATAAAAATAACTTTACCAAACATCTTCTTTTTTATTGAGAATATACATGGATTCATTAACACACACCATTGCTGGCTCATTTCTAATCATACTTCGTGGCGATATTGATGAGTATTGTCGTGTAGGAATAGCAAAATATTCATAGGCTTCAAATGCATATTTAACACATTGTGGATCGGTTCGCATAAATTCATGTTTATTTACAACCAAATCAACAAATTCTTCAGGTTTCATGGTTTGAAATCGTACATGTTGCATCAGTTCGCTAATATACATCATACGTTTTGGCTCATCATGTTTCATCCAATCTACACACATTTCAAAAACTTTTATTTCTGGATACAAACGAAATTCATTTGATTGGATCAAATATAATATTTGTTCATAGGTTAGACGTTTAAACTGATCATTTATAACAACTTTTGGAAAATTTCGCAAGACAAACTTGTTAATCTAAAAAAAACAAAAATATTTTATCATTTACTCGATAATTTATAGTAAGTAGCTACCTTTGCTAACACCGGAATGCTAAAAATATCCGCCAAACTCAAAACATCTACACAATTTTCCACTGTTGTTTCTTCGATCAAAAAATCTTCGCATAATTTTGATGCATGATGAACTTGTAGATGAGATACGGCTCTCAAAACTTCAGCTTAAAAAAATTAAAAAAAGCTTTACATACAAAAAAAAGGAGAAAGTAATTAACGTTGAAATACTTACCAATGTTTTCAAGACTTAATTTTAATTCTCCTGTATATATAAAATCGAGTACAGCTTTCAATCCACTTGCTGATACACCTTTCAGTTCAATAGAGTCCTGTCTTGTTTCTTGCATTCCACTTCGATTTAATGCATCAAAATAATCACACGATGCCACCAACAAACATCTATGAAAAAAGGAATCATGTTACAAGTAAAAAAAAGAAATTTTTTTTGAGATAAACTTACTTGTGTACATTAAATGTTTGGCCACCGGCTAATAAGACAAGATCACAAAATTCCGTTGTACTCCGTTGATTACTAAGACGCTCCAAGACACCTGCTGTGAAAGCACACGCTTTCTTTACTCTAACATCATTCTCTACAATAGTTGATGATTTCGTTTGTGTTTGTTTTTCATGAGTATCTGTATTCTCACTCATATTACAGTTAGTTACATATACTGATATAATAAAATAAATATCTATAAGAAAATAATTGAATAATGAAGTAGAATCGAATATTTTTTACTAAGTATCATCGCTATGAAATCGATTCATAGAGGAAGAAGTTTTTTTAACTAACTAAAACAACAATAGTTACGAAGAATGTTTCTGTCTATGTTGATCTAAATAAATCTATTGCTTCTATCGTTTAAAACAGCCAATAGTACCTGTAAAAAAACAAGTTCATCAGCATCCTTTATGCTATTCATATATTTTTAAAGAGTATCAAGATTCCAGGGACAATTTTTCAATATTCTCTCTCATAAACTGATACAGGTTAAAATTTAAATGCGTCCCGTTATCCATACTCTATTAAATCGAAGATTATTTAGATAAAACTCTTAAAAGAGGTACTGATTCTACAAGACAAACATCAGAGATGTTTTGTCTCAGTGAGATAGCATTATATCTAGTACGTTTTCTAGTTTCTGCATTTAAAATAGTTGTTAACTTACAATAAGAAAAAATAAAGTATAAAGTTGTCGTAAGTATCATTCTGTATTAAACTTAAATTATACATAAATGAATGTTCATAGCTGCTTATAGAGAAGCACTGTTCTGATTTCACCTTTAAGATCACCAGTAGACATACAACATTATAAAACAACTTTTTCTTTATTCGTTTTCCTTTCAGGACGCAAAAGCATACACGCAAACAAAAACGCTTTTGCATAATATGTGCAAAAGCGAGTGTGGCAGCTGTGTATTGAACAGCGCATCACCGATTTTATCGATCTTGACGTGAACACCTTGAAACTTTAGAAGATCCGCAAGTTTTTAAGATAACATGTAAACATATTCACGATGTATCAAAATAGATGATGATAAACAAAGATTCGAAATATAAGTGACGCTGAACGGAGAACTTTGAAAGAATAAAAATGAAACAATACCATGGTTGCGTGTAAAGCGATTAGAAATAACACTATTGAAATCATGAATAAAATTTGATTATGTGATAAAAATGAAATAAACACTGAACCGTAAACAACTTCATGAGTCACCAAATGATCAAAACCAATTAAAAGATATCATCGTCAATCAATATCTAGCAACAAATCACGCACAGCATCATTGTTTATGTCAAACATCCTTTTTATTTTGAAAAACAAGAATTTGGTTAAAATTTAGCTCATGTATAGTTTTGGTGTCAAATACATCGATGAAGTGATGGAATTGACATTATTACTGAAAAGTTAGACTTAGACTATAAGGATCATAATTTCCTGTGCAAAATTTCGTTGATGAGTCGCTATTGTCTGTATTTGTTTTAGCTAAGAGCTCCACAGCATGGTTGAGCGATTTGGGAATAGTTCTTTACAGATCGACTCGAAGATAATTGATAAAAACAGTCAGGAATGTAAGATAAGTTATATCGATCAAGAAACGATGTTATTCGCTAAATCGTATTCGGAAAAACTGATGCTCAATGTCAAAATAAATTTTGCGTTTCGAAAAACGACAACAACATTGAAGAGTATTTCTGCCTTCCAGAAAGGTCGAGGCTCACATAAAACATCCAAAAACCTAGCACATAAAATATCATACCAACATTGCGATGGTTTGTAGATTAGAGAAGGTAGAAGAGAAAAGAATATTCAGTGAATGTCATAAACACCAAATGACATGGATATTTCTATATCTGAAAGAAAACAAGAACACCGAAGAAAAAAGCTTTTTTATAGTACCTGGTAATGACTTTAAAAATGAGATTGAAATTTTTCTCATTTATTACCTACTACCGTCCCCCTTTGATACATAATTTACATTTGATTCATTGTTGCATTTCAGGTATCGACATATTTATTTTGTTCTTCGTCTTATACTTGAAAGGTTCCATTTAGAGTAAATTGTATTGTAACTTTTTGACATGAAAAACTTTTAGATAATCGGTTATTAATACAGTCGCACAATTCGTCTACATAGCGTAGCGGTTTTGATGTAAATATTTCTTCGTTTGTGACATTGTGTTGATGACGACTATAATGTTCAAGCCAAGCTGCATAAAACAGATTTTTGTCATAAACGATCATTTATATCTTTTAATATTTTCAGAACAAAATTAGATAATAGTATTAAATTTTTAATCGCGCAAAATCTCAATGGGACGATTTGATATCTTCATTTTTCAATTTATTAATAAACAATGATTAGGCGCTTCTCAATATAGAACAATAATAATCAGATAATTCATTTAAATAGCCAGAAATCACGCTGTGTTTCTGTAATCCGAATTATAAAAATCATGAAAAATAAATTGAAATAATAACTCACATGCCATGTCAATTTAGTACTAGAACAGGTATTCATCGGACTAATGTGCATTCTTTTTGCTTTGATTTTTATGATGAGTGTACGAGTAAAACTCAAAAATAAAATAGTTTTTCATTTCTGGTACATTCAAAAAAAGGTAAAAAAATAAATATTAAACTCATTTGATTTACTTCTACTTTTTTCGGATACTTTTTTATTGGTGGTGAGATTCGCAACTCAAAACATGGTAGCCTGCCCTTACTGAACTACCAGAGTTTCGAATAATAGAATAAACGTTTTCGTAAACTTACAGTTACAAACTTCAGTTTTAATCATAATGTCAATAATTTTGTTATAATTCTCTATAATTGGAAAATCCTGTGGGACGCTCGTTATTGGTTTCCTCAACTATCCAGTCATGTTAAAGTTCCAAACGCCCGTTAATTGATGTGATAACACAAAGCGCAAGTATAGAATTTCCGTTGCAAAAGTGTTGGCGTTATTTTTGTACTACATACAACGATATTAAAAGAATCAAGAAGATGATCTTGACTTTAGTGTAAAAAGAAAATGATAATTATTGTGATAGAATATAATCAAAATTGAGTTAAAAATCTCGTTATATTTACCCATTTAAGAAATTAGAAAACACAATTTAGTTCTCAATGAAGTTTCCCGATTTATCTATGAGTAATCCCATCCGTTTGCGTGATTTAATTCGGCAAATTCGTTCGGCTAAAACAGCAGCCGAAGAAAGAGCAGTTGTTCAAAAAGAGTGTGCCTACATAAGAGATTCATTTCGTGATGAAGATAGTATATGGCGCTGTCGGAATGTTGCTAAACTACTTTATATTCAAATGTTAGGCTATAGCGCTCATTATGGACAGGTATAATCAATTTATCAAAGCCTTTCTCATGCGTTTGACTTTCGTTCTTTGTCGGTATATAGCTCGAATGTTTGAAACTGATTGCATCTCAAAGATTTACGGATAAACGAATTGGTTATTTGGGAGCAATGTTGTTACTAGATGAAAGACAAGATATTCATGTATTAATTACAAATTCATTGAAGAAGTATGTAGATTATGTGTTTATACAATTTTTAAGCATGTCATTTTATATTAACTAGTGATCTTGGACATACAAATCAATACATAGCTGGCTTAGCATTATGTGCACTTGGTAAATATTTATAAATAACTGTTTTTCTTTTTTCACGTTAAAGTCTTGTTTTAGCTGCCATTTGCTCACCAGAGATGAGCCGAGATTTGGCTGGTGAAGTTGAAAAATTGATGAAATCAACGAATCCGTATATTAAAAAGAAGGTAACTATTGAGTATATAAAAATCCCAGTGGTAATAAAAAATAAAAATGTTTATTTGAAAATAGGCTGTATTATGTGCTGTTCGTATTATCAGAAAAGTACCAGAACTAATGGATATGTTTTTACCGTCCGTACGAAGTCTTTTAAGTGAAAAAAATCATGGTAGGAATTGCGAACGAAATATTATTTTTGGTAAATTTAATTTGATCTCACAACTCTTTCTCTATGTAGGTGTATTACTAACAGCCACTGCACTTGTAACAGAAATGTGTCATAAAAATACAGATGCATTACAACATTTTAGAAAAGTAATGTAGTTAACTTGTATGTTTTGTTTATTGTTTAAATATTTTTCTTTTCTTTTTCTTATAGTTAGTACCAAATCTTGTTCGTATATTGAAAAATTTAATTATGTCTGGCTACAGTCCTGAACATGATGTTTCCGGGATTAGTGATCCATTTTTACAAGTATGTATTATTTTTTTCATTTAACTTTACATATATGTTGCTAATGAGAATGTTGGCTTTTTGTGGTATAGGTTCATCTATTGCGTTTAATGCGAATAATAGGAAAAAATGATGCTGAAGCAAGTGAAGCAATGAATGATATTCTCGCTCAAGTATACATTTTGTTAATGTTATTGATTTGATGTGAAAAAAACGAGTTTATTACTTTTTGTAGGTATCTACAAACACAGAAAATAGTAAAAATGTTGGCAATGCTATATTGTATGAAACTGTTTTAACAATCATGGATATTAAATCAGAATCTGGTTTACGTGTAAGATAAATTTCTTTTAATACTAAATGCCAATCGTCATTTTCAAAGAACTTTAGGTGCTGGCTGTTAATATTTTGGGACGATTTCTTTTGAATAACGATAAAAATATCCGGTATATATTTTCCTCTTATGACTAGGATGTAAGAGTTATTTTCTAAATTTTTCATAGTTATGTTGCATTAAATACACTTTTGCGAGTTGTGCATGCCGATCACAATGCCGTACAACGCCATCGAACAACGATTGTTGAATGTTTGAAAGACGCTGATGTATCGATTAAAAGGTAAACCAACGCTTCGATAAGAATTATTTAATTTGATTTACTGTGCATACAGAATATTGTCTCAGTTTAATCGTTTCTGTCATTGATTTTGTTTACTCTTAACCTAAACTTTATACACTTTATTTTAGACGTGCAATGGAATTATGTTTTGCTTTGATCAATCCAAACAATATTCGTACAATGATAAATGAAATGATTACATTTTTGGCCACCTGCGAAGTAGATTTTAAAGCTGATTGTACATCAAACATGTTTCTCGCCATGGAACGGTATTTATAATTGTTTATATTATAAGACAGTTTTACAATTATCTCTTTGTTTTGATTTAGTTTTGCTCCATCGAAACGTTGGCATGTTGATCAAATGATGAGAGTTTTAACTACGGTAAACTATTTCATTTTATGTGGGTTTTTGACAGTTCATTTGTTGTCAATTTCAGGCTGGTAATTGTGTTCGTGATGACATTGTTTCAAGTTTAATTGGCATTATATCTTGTACACCGGATTTACATGGTTATACTGCTCAACAATTATATAAATTAATTCGTGATGATATAACTCAACAGCCGCTCGTTCAAGTAGCGTCGTGGTCGTTAGGCAAGATTTAAATTTCAACAATAAAACATGGTTTTATTTTTTATTCTATCGTTTAGGCGAATACGGAGATTTATTTGTATCTGGTCAACTCCAGACCGATGATAATTCAATTCATGTATGTATATGATATTATCTCGCTGTATCTTAATATGATTTCCATTTCTTTTTTCATTTTAGGCAAGTGAAGATGATATTGTGAATATATTAGAAAAAGTGCTCAATTGGAGTCCAAGCACAATTGTCACACGTGAATATGCCATTAATGCTCTAATGAAACTAAGTACACGCTTTCCATCGTGTTCAGAGTAAGATCTTTTTCTTGTTATTCTATCAATTATCAATATATTTTTTCCAAAAATTTAGTCGAATACAAACAGTAATGACAATTTATGCGTGTAACATGAATTTGGAATTACAAACGCGTGCTGTTGAATATACATCATTGTTCACAAAATACAATTCTTTAAGGTAGAAAAAGCTAATACTAAAAGACTATCCGCCATCTTCTACTAAAAATATTTAGACCGAGTATTGTTGAACGAATGCCCGTTTTGGTTAATAGTCAAATCTCACACTCTGTGAATGATGATCAACAACAATCACAACACTCATCTGATGATAATGTTCAAACAACACCGACTTCTGAGCCTCCAACAGTGGATAATACTCCAAAACCAGCTGAAGTAAGAAAGAATAATTACTCAGTTCATTGAAAATTATGCAATTTCTGTTCCTACTTTTCTAGGAGAATCTTCTTCGCATTTTGGATGAAATAGAGCCAACAGTTAGCAATGGTATATCAAATGATGATAGTAACAACCATATTTTGGGACTGTTTGGTAACATAACCACACCGTCAAACTCAACAGCAGATGACTTTTTATTTGGTGCTGTACCATCAGTTTCTACTATGACGAAAAGTCAATCAAATCTTGGTATGAAAAGAGAAAGCTTGACTGCTGAGTACGAAAAGATCTGAACTAATAAGAGAACATATCCAAGTGTAACTCTAGAATTTGAATGAGATCTACTGTCTCTAGTGGAGTCAGATGCGTTGACTCCAAATTTTTAGGTGTCACTATTACATCGTTGCTGAGTGAGAGTCTATTTTTTTGTGTATATAGTCGTTAAACACTCAATCTTCAGTCGTCTACAACAATTTTTTGGTAACATCGATGCCATCGAGAAAGCTCGTATGATATACAGTTTTGTAAAGAAACTATTCAGCTACAATGTGATATATTCGAGTTAGTTTGGTGACTTATCATTTTGGTGACAAATGTATTTTATTGAATATATTTCTTATCTCGGAAAACGATAAAAATATCAAAATTTCTTCAAGCATAACAAATACATAAAATATAGTGAAATATAGCAAGAGAAAACATTTTTAATCCTGTACAACCTTGTTTGTGGGAACTGTATTGTTATTATTCCCAACGGAAGCATCGAGGCGAAAAAGCCATATTATATATTAAAAACGCACATGTTCGCCGATAATACATTTAAACGTAAAAAGTATATTTGTCTCAAACATGATAAATCACCAAACTAACTCGAAATATATCACATTCTAGCTGAACAGTTTCCTTACAAAACTGTATATCATACGAGCTTTCTCGATGGCACCGATATTACCAAAAAATTGTTGTAGACTGAAGATTGAGTGTTTATCGACTATATACACAAAAAAATAGACTCTCACTCAGCAACGATGTAATAGTGACACCTAAAAATTTGGAATCAACACATCTGACTCCACTAGAGACAGTAGATCTCATTCAAATTCTAGAGTTACACTTGGATATGTTCCCTTTTAATCTATCTATCATACGAAAGTATAAAAACAACGTGAGCAAAAAAAGGCAATTAAACTGTTTCTGAGTTTCTATTTTCTAACACATTTTGCTCTGATTGATACCAGCATAAAAGATCATTTATTCATTTCTTTGCTGTTTTATTTAGGAAATAATACAATTCCAAATATGAACGCAATCGATAAGAATGGTTTACATGTGGTATTTAGTTTCGAACGAAATGATACAAATTTAACGATAAATTTACAGGCATCTAATTCAACTGCATCCGTAATGAAAAATTTCGTATTCAAAGCAGCTGTTCCAAAAGTAGGTTGAATCTGTCTGTTTTCAACAAATAACGGTATTTCTCTTTTAGACATTTAATCTGGAGTTACTATCACCGAGTGGTGCAAATATACCACCAAATAATAGTGGTAACATCCGTCAGATTATCAAACTTAGTAATCCGACTAAGGTAAACGATTCTTGCTGCTTACTTTTTAGACATTTAGATCAACTTCCAATCGATTCTTTCGGATTCTAGTCAAGTTATTTATAGAGTATTCAGGAACATTTTAGCTGCGTATAGTACAGTTTATTTCAATTCTTCCATTCACTTATGTAAAATTACACTCTGTATAAGTTGCAAACACGAACAATTATGTGATGTTCAGTTTATTTTATTCGTTTTAGGATCGTTTGAGAATGCGTGTGCGTATTAGCTATATGATTGATGGTACATCGATGTCCGATGAAGCGGAATTAAATTCATTTCCCGAGGAGTGTTGGAATTGATCTGAAGAAACTATTAGCAATATTAACAGAATAGTATACAAACATGCTATCATTTTTCTCGCTTTTTGAATGAAATATATGCATGAACGAGAGATAGCTATGAAATTCTACACATATGTCTGAATTAAATGATTTTTTATTATCAATATGTTTTCTCTCTTTTTCTTTACATCATTGTTTATTGTTAACAGATTACTAATATTTTATGATTAATTTGTTATTTTTTCTTATTTCATCGTCCTTCCTTAGTTTAAACGTAACAGACATGTTTTTACATAATACATTCCACACGCACCATTCAAAGGGAATAAATTATTATCTGCATCCGACACGTAATTTATTGATTTAATTAATATAACTTATTTAAACAAAATCTACTCTTGCAAAAAAAAAAAAAGATTTCTGCGGGCGCATGGCTTTGTTTATACTCATTCAGTTCATGTTGTTGTTTTTATTAAATTCTTTTTTCGTGTTTGTAGAGATATTTTTGTTTGTTTTATGTGCTTTGCATTTTTATTTGTTTTTTTGTTTCAAAGAATATATGGTAAAAACTGTACAGCATTTGAAACTGAAAAACAAACTGTTTTTCAAGTTTGAATTCTATACACGCTTTTTTCTCATATTGTGTAGCCGTTCAAAATGAAACACTTCTTTTTATACTGTTCTTTATTCATTATACAAAACAAAAATACATGGATCCGTTTTTTTTCCAGTGTTTGTAATGTAAAAATGAATCGTGGCAATTTGTTTTCTTTCTCACATCTCTCATGCATTGTTATTGTCTAAATAAAATATTTATGAGTATAATGTAGATTTTATAAACTAAACAACAAAACTGTGAAGAGTTACATTATATAAATCAATGGTTTTAAATGATACCAAAGTACAATGAACTCAATTCATGGAATAAAAACAAATAAGCAAGATGTTTGAACTTTTGATAAAGTGTAAAATCTTTTCTATGATTCTAAAGAGAACAATAAAAAGTATTTACGTGCTTATTGAGCTTTGCACGTTTTTGTTTGCCCACGAACGTTCGATCAATTCTTCTGTTTCCCTCTTTTTGTTTTATGTCACACATCGAAGAAAAGACAAACTGCTGTCGTTCGAAAAGAGAAGAATAAAATAGATTGCCCATGGGACTATATTTCGGTTGTCTCTAGTAAATATTTTATTAATACTATACTGAAAATGACCTACCTATTGCTCGATATCTAAGATGGGACGTTTCATTTTCGACTGTCGACGTCTTTGTTCTTGTCTCACTAATCTGAACTGGGATCTCTAAGTTTTGTGATGTCTAAGTTGTTGTTACTATTTGGCTTTATGTCTATCGTTAGTACATCGACGAGTAATTATCTTTAGTTTATTTTCATATACTCTACCATATTCGAAGCACACATGATTTATGATGAATGACCGTCTAATCGATGTTCTTTGACAATGTTGAAGAAAAACAATGATTAAATTAAAAATTTTAGTTAAACAAATAAACATGATATTCTCTATAGTCTATTCAATGACATTCTTCAGCCGTTTCTCTCATATTCTCATTTTACGTTTATTGACGGGTAAGAATTTTAAAACTGTAGAGATATCTTTATAGTTTTAATATTCTCACTTTAGTTTTTAACGCAGTCAAAATATTGAGACCCTTTTTCTTTAAATAGGTTAATTATCAGTGCACTGTATGTGCGTGTATAAATATACTCAAATTTAAATAAAGAAAAGAAAGTCACTTATAACGATTCTATTGTTTAAAATTTCAAAAAGAATTGTTTTATCATGCTCAATTAGAAAGGAATACTAACGATCGAAACTATTTGTATAAAACTGATTTTGTGTTTTTCAATAGTTTTAGGTTACAATACTATAGTAAAATATTTTTCCGCTTGTATTCTGATAGAATAAAGTTTGTATCAACGAGAGAAACTAGAAGAAAGTATTAATATTCAATCTCTCAATGAGTTTTGTGCTCTTTGGTGATTTTTTATATAAAAAGTGAGATACACAAAACTTTTAATCCAGCAGAATAATTATCTTCTTTCATCTTTTTCTAAGAAATATCTCCATACAGGAGAACGCTGGCTGAGACGTATTAGGCATTAGTTGAATTGTCATTAAATTAGAGTGAATTTTTTACATAAACAATTATACACAATTAAGAAACATAAAATGTTAGCGTTTTTTCATTTTGGAGAGCGTTGACTAAGATTTTACATACATTTTTTTGTTCTGTTTTCTTTTAATACAGATTTTCGAGCAGTCAATAAACAGCACATGTTCTACTATTGTTCTTATCTGTCTGCATAAACAAAAATTTAGGATTTTAAAGTTTTAATACTTGAATTTTTAACCTGTTCTATTTTTTTAATATAAACTGAGAAAATATTTTACGGAAATGCCACTCCAAAATATTCGTGTCCTGGACTATTGAAACATTCGTATGAACATAGTAAAACTCGTTGTGGTACAATATTTGCTGTTGTAGTTGAATTATGTATATTTTTAAATGTTTTTCTTACATCCAAATATTCAACACATTCAAGCCATGTATTTAAAAAATAATTGTGACAAAATTGACATTCTGTACATTGCATTAATATTTCTTTTGCACGTTTTGATTGTTGAATTTCATCTCTTAACTTTTGTTGTCTTGCATAGGTTTCATTTGCTGGTACTGTCGATGATGTGTAGCGTAATTCTCTCATTGTTTGTCTTGCACAAAGTTCTTTTAAATTTAAAATTTCTTGTTCTTGTACTGAATGAATGGGTGCTCGTACTAATAATGGATTATTTTCATAATGAAATTCATTCAAATTTAAAGAATGAAATTTACTTGGAAATATTCGTAATTCATTAGCAGCTACATCAAGATGTTTTAATGAATGTTTAATATTTGTTATACTTTCCGGTAATTCTAATAAACGATTACGATGTAATATTAAACGTTGTAATTCAGTTAAATAACCAATTTCTAATGGTAATTTTTTTAATTGATTATAACCTAAATATAATTCAAGTAATTTTGTACATGAACCAATTTCACGTGGAAGTTCTTGTAATTGATTATGTTCAATAGAAAATATTTCTAATTGTTTTAAATAACCAATTTCAATTGGTAATTGTGTGATAAAATTATAGTTTAAATTTAATATGCGTAAATTTGTCAAATAAACACATGCTTTTGGAGATAAATCTTTAAGATTGTTTCGATATAAAAGTAATTTTGAAAGTTTTGTTAATGAACTAATGACAAATGGAAATTGTTCAAATTTATTGTTGCCTAAAATTAATGTCAAATTATGAACGAGATTCATTACAAGTCGATAATTAGCTTGATCTGAAAAGCTGAATTAATTTTGTGCAGTTTTATCATCACAGAGTGTCTCATTTAGTTCTATTGAACATCCTTATCAGTGCTTCCAGGGCTTGACTCAGCTAACCACATGATGCTGGGGACTTTTAACTCATAGTAACACTGTTCTGAAACATTTGTAATAGTCAACAATATCTAATTTTTGTACTATTCTAAATTTTTCTCATAGTTTAAAGTTAGTTAGTTAGTAAGTTAGTTTCGGAAAAAATTTTCAAGTTGATTTTTGAGAAGATCTTTGGAAAACCAGATCAGAACTCCCGAAAATCTGACTATAGATAATCGATCCTGCTGAGTCTCATGGCAATATTTGCTTTTAGAAAAAGTTTAAAAGTCTATCGAAAAAGGGAGTTTTACGAAAACTAGGGTTTTCAGACTGTTTTCACCTAATATTAAAAAATGCAGTGTTCACTCAAAATACATCAGAACGAGTTCAAAACTTCAGGATATAATCAATTCTGTCCGCTAAACGTGATTATCAGATCGAAAAAATCGAAAAATCATATTTTTATTAATGGCTTTTCCAGAAACCCTTTCGGAAAGCATTAGAGTTCTATAAAATCTCTTTCTAGATCTCCTCTAAATAGGATACAGAGTAGCCTAAATGCTTTACATACCGAAGTTTCGAACTCGTTCTGATGTATTTTGAGTGAATAGTGAATTTTTTAATATTAGGTGAAAACAGTCCGAAAACCCTAGTTTGCGTAAAACTCCCTTTTTCGATAGACTTTTAAACTTTTTCTAAAAACAAATATTGCCACGAGATTCAGCATGATCGATTATCTATAGTCCATTGGCTTTCAAGGCTACGAAGAGTCACCAGGTGCCAGTCCTGGGACTTGTAGGAAATCCGGTACAACGCCAGAGCCGTAGAAAATCTAGGTCTCGCTTGACTTCCATTTTTTAGAGGACACATGTAGCTACATACCCATGTAAAAAAACGGCTACATTTCTATGAGATTTTCGGGAGTTCTGACCTGGTTTTCCAAAGATCTCCTCAAAAATCAATTTGAAATTTTTTCCGAAACTCGCTTTCGCTTATACAAACACGGGCTCAAGTCTCTAGTTTCTAAAACTGAAAACCACACCTTCCTGTCTATTACCTATCAAAAGTTATTCAAAAAGCAACCGATGCTCTTGTATTTTGGAACGGATAGTAGATTCAGAGTTGAATGAGCTGATCAATATTTTTCATCTTTGAATCAGAACATACGTTTTGCTAAAATCTGATTAAATCTAGATAAAACTAACTATATAGATGATTCAGTTTTTTAGATCGAGCTGATTACAGAGTACTAGAATGACCTAATCTAAAAAAGCAACAATTTTCGTTCATCAGCAACAATGCGACATATATTATAGTAGTCATTTTCAATACGAGCTTCGTCTTACCTAAATTACAGCTCTCAATTGATTGTAATAATTGTATTTCATTTGGCAATTCTGTCAAATAATTTCCATACAAATCAAGTTCACGTATTTGGCATATTGATAAATGCTGAATTGTATTCGATACTTCTGTCAATTTTTTTTGTGTGAAACGAAATGTTTTTGGATGTGATTTTAAGGCACATATTATAGCTGAATCAAGAGCTGATTGACCATGACTAGTCTGTTGTCTAACAGTTTTTGTAGCTGTACTGTTATCAGTTTTTGTTTTTTGTGATGGTGCAGATGATGAACTAACATAACTTGATGTACTAAATTTAAATTTTGCATAGTAATCATCCTCCTCATCTTCGCCATCAATAAATTCTGTTTTAGTAAATCGATTCTTTTCAAACGGCATGTTCCTTTTTTTGTTCTTTTTTCAAAATTTAAACATCATCAGAAACAAACAAAAGGTAACAAAAGCTTCAATGAAAAAACTCTTTTACATTTCAAAAAGGCAATGCTAATCAAATTGCTTTTCAATGATGCCTAAACAATTTCTCTTGTAAAAACAAAAAAAAAAAAAATCATACTCTGAAATAAATACAGAAAAGAGAGAGAAAGAGAGAACATGTGTTCAAAATTTAAGCACAAGTATTTATGGAATTGAGAAAAAGTCTGGTGTATGGATAACAGAAGTAATTGTACTTCCAAAAAATTTAGATGATTCTTGATATCAGTACACTTCAAGATGTGCTTCTTTTGTATATCTGCATTTTTTGGCAAGGAAATTCTAGATGTTTTTTTCGAGAGTAAATTTTCAGTCAGTAGATTTAGTACCATTAATTATTGTCGTGAATTTTATAGAGACTATTTTTTATTATTGTTACTATTTACAAATATTTTTAATCCAACTATATGGTCGTGATTTAACTCTGAAAATCTTTAAATACTTTGAAAGACTACCAACAAGCTAGTCTGTTTTTTTTTTGTTCCAACTTTCCACATAATAACGTTTATGAAAAAAATTTGATTAATAATCTTTTCAATTGTTGTCAATTTGTAGAGTATTAAACGGAGATTTATTTTCAAAAACAATCCGCTCAAAGAGCTTTGTGGATACAAAGATATAAGCAAAAAGAATGAGAGGACCATTTTATTTTTGATTCACTCGTTACTTTTAATTGCCATAAATTTTATTTATATAACAATGTTCTCTTTGTAAGAAAAAGTAAAATTATATGCAGTTTAGCAAAAACACGTTACGTAAAATAAGGAGAAATGCTGTTTGAAGAAGAAAAAACTTATATAAAAGTAAACAAAAAAACGGTATTTAGTCAAGATTTGAACGTTTTAATAAATAAAGAACTATGTTTACGACACAGACGATGATATTTAGAAAATAGAACACGTTAACTTATACTTGAATATACATAATCTATTCTAGAATAAGCTATTATCAATGTCGTACTCGTCCAGGTAATCATCATCTTCTTTTCTGCAACTCTTGGTTTCTGCAAGAAATGACTCTATATGTCATTTTTGAGAAGAAAACGACGGGAACTGATCAGGAACCGTTCGTTATTTAGTTTTTAAAAATTTCTATGCCTTAAAAGTGCAGAATTGAAAGAACTATCGAATGAGCTGTAACACATTCTTTCAAATTGTAAGTTTGTTAGACTTATGGGCAAGATAGTGAACGGATGCATTGATTTTAACCTGTTGTAGAAGAGTTAGGGAGGCATAACGCTGTAAACACAATGAGATCCAGAATGATTATGATATAAAAAAATGCAGAATTTAACGAGCTTCAAAATTGAAATGTATTTCATTAGACTATACCATCAAACAGTTATATTCTGAATAGTATATGACTGTCCCGACTTTTATTTACGGCGGTTCTCAAAAATATTGAACCATGTATATTTTCAGTTTTTCTCCTCAAAGGTAATAGCTATAACAAATCTAAAAAAAGATTTGCATGGTTCAAGGAGTTTCTAATCTGGTTCTTGGCAAACAAAGATTCCATTAAAGTTTCTGGGATCGAGATCTCTAGAAAACTAGAACCCTAGTAAAGTAAATCTCCGAATTCGGGTGATACTTTTCTTCTAACAGTTTTATCGTGTACAGAAAACATTTCTGAACAAATCAAGACATCTCTGAGCTCTCTACAGTACTGTTTCATCAAACAGCATTCAATTTGAGAAAGGCCTTATGGCATCAAAATTAGCGAAATTAATCAGAAAAAAAAATGTTTTTTATTTTTTTACCCATAAGTCTAATAAACTGACAATTTGAAAGAATGTGTTACAGCTCACTCGATAGTCCTTTCAATTCTGTATCTTTCTATATACAAACTATGCCTAATCTCTGTCTGTAGAAGAAACTACAATCATTTTTATGCGGCACTATAGGAAAAAAATCGAGAAACTTGTCAAGTATTTGTCCAATACATCTACGAAGGCAAACTTTTGAAACAATGTTTTATAGCTCATTTTGTAGCCCTTTCAATTCTACATTTTTCTATGTATAAACATTTCGGATCTGAGTGCTCTGACAAAACTATATACATTTTATTATATTTAATGAGGGTTACATATACGGGAAGCAAATAGTCATAAATAATGTTTGATCAATAACTCTATGAAGACATTAGTTTGAAAGTATGGCTATAGATCATTTTAAAGCCCCATTTCATTGCGCATGTTTTCATATATAAGATTCTATTAAGAACATCGAACTTGCAGAGAAAAATGAATAAATACGATCGAACAGGCTTTTTGAACTAATGCTCAGAAATGATTAAAAATTCCAGTATATGGTAGTCTATAATCAACTTTTAAGGCGCTAAAATATTAAAAACCAAATAAAGAAACGGTTCCTAATCAGTTCCAGTCGTTATCTTCTAAAAAATATATAGGGCCATTTTCTTGCAGAAGCCATCTCCTGTCCTTTGAATTTCTTTCTAATAATTTATTAGGACTTTCTGGATAAAAACAAACACTTAGTAATTAATTAATTCATAACATTTTGTATGAAGATCGGATCAAATATATATTAATTCAATCTGTACATTAGAATATAAACTGAACAGGCCGGTACTTACATAATCTGACACTCTAATAATAGGTTTCAGGTGTTACCAGACCGATTACAGTTAGGGGATTGACTGTTATCCGTTACTCAAGTAACGGTAACGGTTTTTCAACGATTCAAACGTTATCGTTACCAATAACGGATAACGGTTAAATCAAATGGTAAGCATAACTTTCAAGTCTGCCTAATATGAATTCTAACTTAAAATGTTAATTGCGAGTATTATTCATATATATAATTCATAATTCTTTTAATACTATCTATTTATTACTTATTAAAAGCTATTGTTTGTTTGTTTGTTTGTTTGTTATTACTATCGATATTTCCAGTCAAAATAAAACATAGATCGTGATCCCAAAATAAAATGCACTCGGATGTTTTCGAATAACTCAAAGACAAAAAATGATAGAAACTTACGGTTTTCAGCAATCAAGAAAGCCCACTTGAGGCTATTTCCACAAACAAAATCTTCTTTCGAAAACGTTCGGAACATCTGTTCTCTACAAAAGCTTTGGAAAACTAGCTCGAATTTCTAGAAACTAACATAGTAGTCTGTCGTTTTTTAGTCCGAAGTGTCTTCTACAAAATAAGATCTAAGGAAAAGTTACTATGCAGTTCAATAAAAGCTTTAAAAATCAACAGAAAATACTTTGGTTTTTGAAAAAATTTTCTAGAAATCTTCCGAAGTACCATAATATTTTTCACTAGTCTCAAGTAAAAAATCGTTTGGAGCAGGTAAAATAGAGTACATGTTGATATTCTGACATAATTTTAAGGTATTCGAAAACAACCGAGTCCATTATATTTTGCAAAGGATAATAGTTATGAACTATGAAAGAAAACAGAAGGGTTTGTTATAAATTTGTAAACACTACTGCTCAGTTCACGTTACAAAAACAGCCAATCTTTACCAACCAAAATAAGCAATAGAGTCTGTTATTTCATGAGGGAAAGTGTATCAGTGTTTGATAGTCAAACTGTTACCCTTAACTATTAACGCCCCACCCCCTAATTACGGCTGATAACCCTTTGAGAATTTTGATAGTTCATTGTGCATTTCTTCGGAATTTGCGCTACCATTATTTGGCCTTGACTCTGTTTGTGATACACCATTTCGTCGCACATGCTTTCACATGTCCAGTTAGGCCCTGTGGTTTAAACAAACATAAGATCGAACAAATCCATAGAAGATTTTCGGTTTTTAGTTCGTAACTTTTTTCGTTCCATTTCGTGATCACATAGCCCGAACAACGTTGAATTTATATAAAATATTTATTACTCGAATCATTCACGTTTTACAAAAAAATTTTTATTCTATTTATAACCAATTAAATTTAGTGAAATAAAGGAAAATAGCAACACAATGAAATTGTCTTTCGTGTATGACACTCATCTGAAGTCTCTTTCATTTGTTTATTGTACGAATACAACACATGCGAAAAAAAATGTGATAAGGAGAAAATTTTGATAAATGGAAGATGCACTATTGGGTGATTGTTGTTCATCTGAAAATTGTGATTTACCACGTTGTTGATTTAATTTTGCATCTAATTCTTCTTGTGCACTATGAATCGGATACGTTTGGTGGCCAGTATTATTCAAGGAAACATTGAATAGCTGATAACGTGATGTTACAATATCGCCAATAATTGTGTGAGAAGTTGAGAATAAATGATCAATCGCATTACCCGCACTATCAACATTAAACTTTGACGATGTCGTAGTGTCCATTTTAATTTCTAGGAAAAGAAAAGTGAAGTATTAATTGTATAATTTTCGATTCTGCAAAGTAAAACATACCATCACATGCTGTTGAAACATGTGGACATTTATCAATTGTTCCATTGAAACTTATTGGCGACAGACGTGTCAAATTACAAGTTTTTTCTAATAATTCCAATGTTGAATTATAACTAGTTGAATATTCAACTTCTTGAAAATCTACTGGACGATAGACATCTTTCCATTCTTCAAGAAAAACAATGTACGTTTTACCAGCTGCCAAATCTTGACAATAACGATGTCCAGATGTATATCCTACAAATCAATAAATCAATAAATATTTATTTCAACAGAACAGGAGATGAACGATGTGATAGTCAATTTGTCTTCGTTAACAGGCATGAAAATCGATCATCGGTAACTATCCACCACATTTGTTTCTTACCTGCTTGAGTAATACTGATAGTATGATTTGTTGGTTTTCCTTTAAATATACAATTAACTTGAAATGTAACATTGAATTGATCCATTACATTTGGAATCATATTTTTTGTCATTGTTTCACCAAAAAGAACAATGGGTGAATCACGAACTTTTGTTGAAAAATCAACATAATCAACTTGACATTGTGATGGACGACATGATACCATTGATATTAGTAATAATAAGCCCAATAAAATAATGTAATTAGTGAACATTTTCAATCGACTTTGTCAACTTTAATATTAAGTAAAAAATAATAGCAAAAAACTGAATAAGAGAGATGCTTCGTTTATTTCGATGAAAGACAAGAATGAAAATATTTCATTTGGTAATCCACTATCAATAGAACTTTTTTTTGTCAGTTAGTGTATAGCTCGTCCGCCGTCAAATTTAGTGGGGACCTGTTTGACAGACTATAGATAAAGTACTGCATATACAAAAGATGACGATAAATATAACAAAAACATGACATTGCTGGATATGGACAAAAAACCAACAAAAGGAAAAAATTTTGATGGAAAAAAAGTGGATATTTGAATTGTACAATAGAATTACTAGCAAAAAAAGCTTTCATACTATACCTACCTTAATTATTTCTCGTTCAATTTCTGACAAATATTCGTAACTGTTGGCTGTTTAAATATATCTGTTAGAAATGGATCTAGTAGTATACAAGAGAGCAAAAAAAATCCCATGGACGTATGTATTATTCAACGAAACTGGCTAAATTTTCTTTTTCTTCGTCATGATTACTCAATTGTCTGTTGTTGTAGATATATGGCTATTCGTTTAATTTCGAATACTTTTTTCATTTTCTTGTTGTCTTTATTTGGTCAGTCATAGAAATATGTGTGTGATTTGTTGGTTTTCCTTTAAATATACAATTAACTTGAAATGTAACATTGAATTGATCCATTACATTTGGAATCATATTTTTTGTCAT